TTTTTTATTACAATATCGTTAAATTATTTTTGTGATTAAAATATCTGTTTGAAATGCAGGTAAAATATTAGTCTTAATTAACAATGCGTGTCTATATAGGATAAAATAGTTAAAAGAAAGAGGGTGACCTGACAAGTAATTCCCATCCAAATACAACTGTTCAAGGGGGTGGAAAGGGAGAAAAGAAGAGGCATTGAGTGGCCATTTGATGTGTCTCTACTCAGAGGGTCTTGTATTGCTTAGATGAAAGCTTTTGACTCTCTTAGTAGAGTTGTCACACTTTATAGCCCCCCAGGTGCAGCAATCAGAGAAGGTAAGGTTATTCCAAGAAGGAAGAGAAGAGCTATTTGGGTAATTAAATGCCTCTTTCAATTTCATAAGAGCTTCTCTCTCTCTTTCAAGCACTCCTCACTTTCTCCATTAAAACCACCACACATCTTCTCTCACTGAATACCCCATATTTCAGTATATGCTTCCCTGCTTGCGTATGTCTTCCTTTACGTCCTCTCTATCTATATATATAGCGGCAAGAAGACGCTAGCTGCCCACGGTGTTTCAAAACACAAGTTGACTTATTTGTGCAGCAGAAATGACTCAGACCGAGAAAAGTGTAACAACTAGGGCAAATTAATACACATCACGATTGTCTCAGTAAAGCCAACCAATACTTGAAAACTGAGTCACAACCAAACAAACAGGGGAGAAATATAGTCAATGGCCGGTGATCCCCAGAAGTAATGCCAGAATAAATTTAATATGTATTCATGAAATGAATTTCATTAAAAGTTAAAAAATAAGAAGCCAAAGACTTATCTATCCTCTGTTCTGGGTGTGATTAGAATCTATGACACATAGACAGCTCTGATCCACTAGAAATCTGACATCTGATGTATTATTCAAACAAATCTGGGACAAAGTGAAATTTCACCAGAAAAACATTTAACAAGACCATAGTATACAGCAAAACCAAATGTAGCTGGAGATCATCAGAACCTAAGCTCTATTGGGTACATAGTCAATTTCTCGGAAATTGTAGGCATGAGGCATATCTAGTTCAAAAATGCTTCAATAAGCTAAGCTCAGTTCCTGGCATTGCGTGCACAGAGAATTATGTGCCATCCTATGGTAATTGTCTATTTTGTCAAAACTTGTGTGTTGAACGAGTCATGATTATAACAAAACATAAATGATAAAGTTGCTGATGATGAGATAGGAGCATGTGAAGCATATATGATATCCCATACATGTCATTTCTTATGTAAAAAAAAAAAACTTGAGTTTTGTTTTATGAATGAGGTTCAACATTTTACATGATGTAAAAGACGAGAAAAAGATGAAGATTCGTTGCCCCATAATACATGACTGGGCTTAACGTACGTGACCTCTCAATTTGTGATTGATCAGACAGTTGCTACCAATGTTCACCACACAGTAAGTTTTATATTCTTAACCACTTAAAGTCAATGCCTGTGCTTTTGACATTTCTGCAGAATCAAACAAACTAAGCTCCATCATGTAGATTGAGATTGTTGTGCCGGAACTAAAACATGTTGAATAATAATATAATTCTACAAAAACCAGAAACTCGGTTTAGTTGACTCATAGTATCTGTTGCAGGTTATGCACGAGATTGAGAAAGAAAGAGAAAAGAGAGAGGGGTAATTATATACTACCTTCTGCCTAAATATAAGATCTACTTTATAGTGTAATTATATAGTCTCAATGGAGAGAAAAGAATAACAAACGATGGCTCCCACAAGGATGAACGAAGAATTTGAGGTTCTAAAGAGAATTTGTAGAAAACCAAGAAAGAAAGAAACAACAGAAAAGGATCAGATTTAAGCCTGACATAATAAATCGCGTACGTACTTGTTTAGAAACTATCAGTTTTAGGTGGTGTTTGGCCAAGCAATGAGATAGTTTCGTCATAAAGTTAGAAATACAGCTGTAACATGTCTTGATGATGTTATATGGGATTCCTCTGCTCAAGGTAATTGACATAATGATCGATTTGTTTAATCAACATTCACAACCTTTTAAGACAAGAACAAGGTATATATGTTAATTGAATTAACCTATACTGAATCCTGATGATTTTGTGGTGGAGCAGGTCGATGTTTTTCATAATTTTAAACTTGAAAAATCCTTTGTTCCCACTAATTAAAATTTTTAGACAGATAAAACACCTAACTATATACTACCTCCAGTCCTTAATATAAGAGCTAGTTAACTAATTTGAGTAAATTAAGAAAGTTTGTTAAATTAGTTATTTGAAATAAATAGTATGTCTTCCTTAAAATACTCTTACTAATTATGTGTATTACTAAACTACCATTTAATAGAATATTTAACATGTGTAACTATTACAAGGATTATTTTGAAAAAAATGAATAAATATAAGAGACAAAATAGATTGTACTCTTATATTGAGAATCAAATTAAAAATTAAACTAGTTCTTATATTGCACACCGGAGGTAGTACAATCAATTGTAGTTAGTTGTGCACAGGCGATAAAACTGACACGTCCTCACTAAATGCACACGCAAAGTACTGCTTTCTGTTTTTTTTTTTACCAAAAATACTGCTCTCTGTTTCAAAAAAAAGAAACTTCTATGAAAGTACTTTTACATCCAAGTGTTTCGTTACAAATTCATTTTGTAACCACGGAATTGAGATGAAATAATCCATTCTTCATCAATAAAAGTTCTTGGAATTTGTTTGTATAGTTGGAATGAACCAACATTAGATTTTGAAATATCAGCTAACCAATTGTATCCTATGGCAGTAAACATAATACTTCGCATCGAATTTTTTGTTACTTTTGCATCACTAATTAATATTGTGGGACTCAACATAGCAATAATCCCAAAAAAAAAAAAAAAGAGCAGCACAGAGTTGCACAACTGCAATTGAGAAAAGCAAAAAACGAGACAGAACAATGCACGTATTAGGAACTGATCGCAAGAGAAATTAAGAAAGCAATAAGAGTTCATAAAAGCAAGTTAAAAAGAGAGAGATTTTGATGATGACTTGTGATCTCACCGTCCCTCCCAGAAGAAGCATCACTGGAGGGATACCCCATTGGTGGTGAATATGAAACCACCGGTAAGCATAACACCACTGATTAGTATTGTTAATCTCATGCAGCTACAGAGACATATACAATAATAATTATAGTTAATGGTCAGATACAGGGCAAACTGTGAAGAAGCTTGAAGGAATCATCACTTAAACTGCATTTGCCGACACAGTATTTTGATCACAAATCGCCTGTGATATATGTATAACAGTAAAAATAGCAGGAGGTTCTTCTGGATGGTAGCAATTCATGGTTAAAAAATATTGATGAGGTTAGGTTGATCATCTTATGAACAATAGGAACAAAGAGACAGAGACGAAACAGAGATGACAATGAAGGATTTTGAGAAAGAGATTGCTAAGCTGTACACACACATGAGAAGTAATGATTCGAATATTTCAATTAAGTTTCCTTTCTGATCCTGAGAAGACTTGAAACCAGCAATCTTTTGGTTATTGTAATTCTAGAAAAGATCAGCAGGCCATCGATTACATGATCAAAATCTTATGAACTCTAATTGAACTCTAAGTAAAGCCTTTTTCCTTTTTGCCATCACTCATACAAATAACTTGTTATAACTCTCTCTAATACAAGTAGTTTGTAATTGAAAATGTAAGGATTCAAATAAATAACTATAATGACACTTATAAAAAAGACCCCAAATGCTCCAACAAAACTCCATAAGAAAGCATCTCGAAAATCATCTGTATCCAAATGATGAGGTTGCCTGTTTCTCCCTCCTATTGAGCAATTTTGCGGCAAAGGGGGACCGCATAGAAAAAGGTTCCCTTCATAACTGGCTGAGCCAAAAGTTGCAAATTGATTTTTCATATCAGGTGTCATTCCAGATAGATTATTATGAGCAACTGAGAAGAAAGACAAGAAGTACAACTGAGTTAGTTGTGCAGGAATGTGGCTTGTCAATTTGTTGTGTGAAAGATCAAGGCTTTCTATCTGCTTGAGGCTGGAAAACGTTTCTGGAATAGGCCCTTCCAATTGATTGTTTGACAAATTTAAAGCATGGACAGTGCTTAAGTATCCAAGGTTTGAAGGAATTTTACCTCTCAATTGATTGCTAGAGAGATCCAACCCAGACATGAAATTTAAAATGCTTCCCTTGTAAGATTCATACCTGCTTTTTGTTGTAAAATCTACTTCTTGCACTTTACACAATGTAACATTTTGTTTTTCTTTTAGTACAAAAACTTTACCGGTAATACTGTCAAAACGGTAATGAGACGATCTTGTAGTCCAGGACACAATAAAACTTCCTATTTCGATTTCACTTGCTGCATCCATGTTTCCAAATCCGATGTTATTCAAGCAATATGGTATGCCTCCAGAAAGCTTATTTTGAGAAAGATCTAACAATCTAATATTCTTGAGCTCACATAAATGTGTCGGAATAGAGCCTTCAAGTTTGTTTTCTTTTAACATGAGAACCCTTAAACTAGAGAATGAGCTAATCCATCTTGGAATTCGACCTGAAAATTTGTTATGCATCAAATCGAAAGTCAACAATGAGGAAGAATTAGCCAAAGTAGAAGGTAGAGATCCCATGAAATGATTGCCCTGCAAATGTAGATACATCAACAACGGCATGTTCAGGCAACTTAGCAAAGAACCACTTAATGTATTGTGAGAAAGGTCTAAATATGAAAGTTTGGTCAAGTTGCAAAAGCTTTCTGGAAGTGAACCTGTTAAAGAATTCTGTGACAAAATGAGGTAACTCAAATCTTGAAATTTCCAATCCAGCTAGGTATTTCACGAAATAGTTGATTGGCACTTAAATCCAACATTATCAATCCAGTACTGTTCATGAAGCCACCTTGAAATTTTCCTTTGAAGTTATTGTTGTTGAGATCAAGAGACAACAAATGTGTGAAATTTGATCCTATGGGAAGACATGAGCCACTCAGGTTGTTGTTTGACAACTTCAAAAATCTCAATTCATTGTTCCCTTGACCAAATTCTTGAGGCAAAGAGCCAAATAAATTATTATTTGACAAGTCAAGATCATTCAATTGTCTCATTTCACCTATTGAAGCTGGAAAATAACCTCGCAATGAAGTTGATGACATATTAAGAGAAATCAAGTTGGGAAAAATGTATCCAATATGAGATGGCATTTCATCTCTGATGGGGTTAGAGGAAATATCAAAGGACTCCATTTGAAGCAGTTTTGAGGCAGGATTGAGTTTAAAGGGAGTAGTGAACAAGTTGTGCGTCAGATTGAAATAACTTAATCTCGTGTTGTTTGTCAAAAGCCATGACGGGAAGGTCCCAGAAATGTTCAAGTGGCTAAGTTCTAGAGCCAGCAAGTCATATTGATGAAGAAGAAAGGTAGGCATTGTCTTATTGTTCGCTTCATTTAGAGAGCATTTGTGGATTCTAAAAAGCCTCAACTGGAAGGAAGGAATAAATGGGGGATTCTCAGTTTCAAGCTTTAGATGGGCGTTAGAGCAAGAGATGCTAAAGACTTTAAGGTTGGAGTTGTTGGCAAGTGAAGAGAGTGAAAAGGAACCACTAAAATTGTCATCAGAAAGAAAAATTGCTGTTAGGGACCTCAGAGCATGAAAAAGTGAGGAAGGAAATGTTCCTTCAAAACGATTTTTATTAAGATAAAGCGTACGTAGAGACGTCAAATTGCCAAGGCATGCAGGAAGTTGCCCCTCAAATTCATTGACGGCAAGATTCAATAGGGAAAGATTCTTCAAATTGCACAAGCCTCCTGCAACATACCATTTTTATTCATTAAAATTATTTAATTAGTCCATTAATTAAAAAATTTATACAACTAGAAGTAATAGCTTAACCTCCTACTTAGATTGAGAGAAAATTATGAAGAAAAGAAAACTAGAAAGAAAAATGGGAGGAGAAATGAGTTTTGTCCAAGTTGGTAGGAGAGAAAATATGAGAGGAAGAAAAAGTGGGGGAAAAAATGAGGTAAGCCCTATGTCTCATTTTCTCTCCAAATTTTCTCTCCATATCTGGAGAGATTTGGGAAGAAAAACAAGATTTACATGACTACCTTCCTCCTTCTTTAGTTCTCCCTCTCTATATTTATTTTCTTTTATTATATTTAAAAAAGGATTCGCTTTTTATTTTGTATCTCAAAATAATATTTTTATTAAATAAGTTGGTTTTAAAATATAATAATTTGAAAATATATAAACCAAATAATTTGATTTTAAATGATTTGATTATACTAATATTAGTATAATTTTTCTACTGCAATATTTAATTTGGTTCAATTTTAAATATGATATTGTTTGATAAGGATATTTTAGTTTTTCTTTCCTCTCTATTTTCTCTCATCTATCCAAGTAAGAGGAATGATAATATTTTCTTTCTAATTTTTCTTTCTCTCTATTTTTTCTCCTTTCAACTTTTCTTCTTATCCAAAGGGATATGAAATTATACTATATTTTTCCAAAAAGGGTCTACGTGGGCTAAATTAATTGTGGGTATGTACGAATTAAGAAGTTGGGCCCCAGGAAAAACCTCAATATTGAGCCCAAAAATATAAGTGAAAATAAATGATTAAGCCATTTCCTTTTACTAGTTTTAGCATGTCCATGTGTGTAAATACAGTTCCATCTTCTTCTTCTTATTATCATTATTACTATTATTATGTCAACTATTATTTGTTTTGACTACATTATTTTAAACTATTGCCGCATGCCAGTTAGGAGATGGATTGGAAATCGATTTCATTGAACAGTCGACTCAATTTGCAGGAACAAGGAAAATTTGACTGTTTAATTAAAATAAAAATTTGTTATCAGCAAATTTGATGTATAAAATATGATGCATACCTTCTTGTGGCAATGATCCAGTCAGGTTGTTATTGTCTAATGTCAATGTGGTGAGGGAAGTAAGAGACGTAATAGATTCTGGAATACTGCCCTCCAAGTAATTAGCATCAAGCCACAGCTCCTTCAGATTACGTGAATGAGAAAGGTCTGTCAAATGCCAAATGGACATGTGTGCGTTAAGCCACAACTCCTTCAAATTAATTTGTGTGTTTGTGTGTAAGTGTTGTTAAAATTTATTGCTAATGAATCTGCTAAGTAAGAAAACGTCATCTTATCTCTTACTTTTGACATTTCATTCAATTCTCTCAATTAAATAAAGGCATATAAATTGTTCAGGTGAGATCATTATGTGGCAAAGGTAAATAATTCGACTTCCCAACAAAATCAAAAAAAAATCGAAACTTTCATATATTTAATGGAGAAGACGTTGTCTATATATTCCTTTTAGCATTTTTCTTAAAATGATGGCCCGGTAATCTTTTTTCTAAAAATAGATATGCTTTAATTTGATGCACGTTTCAGTAACTACATATGTCCCTCAAAATATACTATAATAGAGAAGACAAAGATTTAGCACCGAAATATGGGAATTCTCTCAACATATTGAATTGTAAGTTCAACAATTCCAAGTTCCCCAGCCTGATATCGCCAAGCAGCCCTGCTCCACAAACAACATGTGATCAGTTACTATGAATGTTAGTGGGTATAAAGAATTATAAAAAATAATTCATATAATTAATATCATCATCCTCTTCATAATTTAACATGAAGTGAAAGTTTGATAATGTAGTTTTTATTAAGCTTGTTTTGGGCCCCTCTATATATCCAAGAAAACATCTTGCCTCTAATTTATTTTAAAAAAATATTTACAACACGAATCAAGACGGTTAGTATCTCAAACATTTTCTAAAATATCTTACTTGATTATATTTTTTAAAAAATGAGTAATAAAAATTTTGGTACTCAAATTTAATTTGTCTCCGTTATCAATTTGGTCTGTGAAGTTTAATTTTTATCAATCAAGTTCGTAAAGTTTCATACGCAATTTTACTCCCTCTGATGCTATCTATAAGATATAAATGATTAAATTATGTAGATTATATAGTTTGTTGAAATTGCTTAAAGGCAATAAATATGTAAAAAAAAAATTCCCAAAAATAATAAAACGGTGAATGAGAGAGAAATTGAGTAAGAAAAAGATAAGTATGAGAGAGAATAAATGAGTGATATAACATATAATTATTGGGAGAAAATATAAAAAATTGGTTCAAATTTCATAAATAAAGCAAAGTGAGGGTTATCATCCTTGAATTAATGGTTAGTGATAGCACATGTGCGTTTAGGATTATATATCTTCAAACCATAATGACTAATTTTGTATGATTATGAAACTTTAGGAACTTGATTTATAACAATTAATTAAATTTTATGGACCAAATCAATCAGTGAAGCAAATTTGAGGGACAGAAAGTTTCATTATTCCAATCAGAATTATCCACAAATATTTAGCTAGAACTAGAATGGACTACTCTTACCCTGGCAAATCAGTGGCCTAAAAGAGGAAACCGATGAAAAAGAACAAGATAAAAGGCTATGAATGATATGATCATAATCATTATTAACTAATTTTTTACCGTAACTGATGTGCTTTTACATCTTCAAAAATCACAGTTCGAAATGCTTATAAAAATGTCGGTCTTAATTAACAATGTATGTCTATGTACTGTGTGTATATGTTATATGTATGCATGAATGATAGAATAGGTAAACGAAAGAGGGTGACCTGACAAGTAATTCCCATCCAAACGCAACGCTTGAAGCTGGATGAAGGGGAGAAAAGAAGAAGCATTGAGTGACCATTTGATGTGTCCCAACTCATAAGGTCTTGTGTTGTTCAGATAAAGGCTTATGACTCTATGAGTGGAGTTGTCACACTCTACAGACTCCCAAGTGCAGCAATCTGCAGAGAAGGTTTGGTTATTCCAAGAAGGAAGAGAAGAGCCATTTGGATAATTGAAAGCTTCTTTCAATTTCAGAAGAGCTTCTCTCTCTTCTTTCAAGCACCCCTCACTTTCTCCACTAAACCCCAAGAATATGAACATGATTATGGCCATCACGCACCACACATCTTCTGATCTCACTGAATGATACGCCATTTGTCAGTATGCTTAATTAGCTTCCTTGTTTGCCTATATATGTCTTCCATTACGTCCTCTCTATCCATATATATAGGCCGGAAGGAGACTCGTTCATTGCTCTCTGCGTTCCAAAACAGTACACGAGTTGACTCAGTTGTGGAGAAATGAGTCAGACTGGGGATTTAAAAAACACAGCATATACTCAGTGGCCAGCAACCAATAAAGCTAACAACCATGCAAGACGCGTGACGACCGAGTCACAGTCAAACAGTGGGGGGGCTGGTGTAATCTAGCCATTGGCCAGTGAAAATAATTAAATTATTATGTACTCGTATTTATAAAAAGATTTTCACACAAATCATAATAAATCACAGACACATCAATCCTCTGTTCTGGGTGTGATTAGAATCTATGACACACGGAAACATATCTGATCAACTAGAAATCTGACATCTGATGGACTATTCAAATGATATAATGTCGGGACAGAGCGCAATTATAGCAGAAAAGATAAAACAAAACCATAGTATACACAGCAAGAACCTCATGCAAACCAATAATCATTCCTCCTATGTTGTATCGGCCGTATGGTTAACAAATGACGTAGTTTCTTGTTGAATGGGCCGCGATTATAACAAAAAATACGGATAAAGTTGCTGATGTGATTTCTGCAATATACTACTTTCAGTTCTAAATATAAGAGCTAATTGATGAGATACTAATTCAATTTGTTTCTCCATTTAATAACTGAAGGAAACTTAATTTTTGATTTATAAATGAGCTTTAAGGTTGTTAGCAGCTAATTCTGCCAATCCAGAAAGTATTCTCTCAGAATGTTACACTTCGTACCTGACGCAGACCTAGTGACGCAGCTTTATAAAAGACGAAGACTCCTTGCCCCGAAGGCCAAAGTACACGACTGGGCCCAACCTCTTATCAGTGTCTGATCTTGACTACTGTTGCTTACACTTGATTTGTAAAATGCATGTAAAAATATAGGTTTGTTAGTAATCTAGTCATTGGCCACTGATCCCACAGACTTGTAAAAGAATAAAATTAGTGTGTATTTATAAAAAGAATTTCATGAAATAATTAAAAAATAATAAATCACAGACTCATCAATCCTCTGGTCTGGGCGTGATTACAATCTGCGACGCATAGAGACAAAGCTGATCAACTAGAAATTTGACATCTGAGGGACTGCTCAAACAATGTTGGGACAAAGCACGATGATATCAGAAAATACACAGCAAGAACCTCATGCAGACAATAAGCATTATAATCATTTGTTCTACTGTGTCGGCTGGAATATGGTTATAACAAATGATGTGCTACCTCCTCCACTTAATATAAAAATTAGTTAGAAATTTAATTTGGTCTTAAATATGAGACCTGAATCTACTTTGTGTCTCATATTTATCTATTTTGTCAGCAAGTAATTTCTATGGTGATTAGCAAGAATTGTTTCAATACACATAATTAACAAATATATTTTAAGAAAGACAACACCTATTTAGTACAAATAACTTAACTAATTTTTTTAATATTTGTAAATTAGTTGTCTAACTCTTCCACAAGAGTTTCTTGTTGAATGAGTCGTGATTATAACAAAACATGAATGATAAAGTTGCTGATGTCATTTCTGCAATGAAAGAAAACATGACTTTTGTTTTATAAATGAGCTTTAAGGTTGTTAGAAATTACTTGTCCCAATCTCGAAAGTATTCTCTCATAGTGCTCCGCTCCATAACCTGACGCAGACTCATATATAGTCGTTTAGTGTGGAAAATAAGAAAAAGATCAAAATTCCTTGCCCCACCCAAAGCAAACGACTGGGCCCAACCTCTCACTTTCTGATGATCATGACTACTGTTGCTAATGCTTGATATTCTTATCAGTTATCACAATACTCAACATCATTGCATGAAGTCGAGAGCCTTATAGTCCAGTCATATAAAAGCTCTTTTATAAGTAGGAGGTCACAAGTTTGGTTCCACTTACAACTGCAAGTTATTAGTGGGCCTGTTTAGAATGACTTATAAGTAGCTTTTAAATCATGATTTATAAAATACAAGATAAGTATATGAGATAAGCTTTAAACGTAATTTCAAACAGGGCTAGTGTCTACCTTTCTTATTTTTTTTTTTTTTAAAAAAAGGTGCATGAAGCCAGAAGTAAACTACAGGTCTAGAGCTTTCTACACATTCATATGCAAATTTTATAGCTAACTATGATAAGTTAAGTATTAATCGAAACCAAATTTGCAGTTGAACTTGATTAGCCAAGGATAATACAACATCAAGAAGTCGGAAAAATAGGATGGCTAGCTAGCCAACAGGGGAGTTACATTTCAGCAAAACTGAGTCACAACCAAACATAGGGGACAATAATTACTAGTCAATGTATAGTCAGTGATCCCAAGAGTTATTATACAGGGTAAACTTGATGTTGTACAAAATGAATTTCTCAAATAATTAAAAAAAAAATTCGTCAAACAGTTTCCAATTATCTGATACTCCAGGCTCCATCCTATATTGTTCTTTCTCTTGGTTGATTTAGAAGTATGAAGCCAAAGCAGAGTGGAGTATATAGACAACATGCATTTGCAATAGTCTTATGAAATTATATGAGACTGCAGAGCACAATACATGGTGAGCACCTTCTGAAACTAAGAGAGCTTGATGATCTCAATATAAATTAAAATAACATACATAAAACTTCAATATTTTGGACTTTCATGATCTCACTGCAGAGTGAGGAATACTTCATCTAAATAAATGAATGACTTTGTGAATGCATGATTACTTCATCTAAACACGATTACTTCAAGAAACTATCAAAACAAAACAAAAAATTCAATATCTTCACTTCAGTCTTCAGTGATCCTTCCAGAATGGCAAGACATGGAGAGTCGATGCATTTTTCACTTGAGATATATTTATTACCAAATTTTCCCTACTGACCATATTTAATTCCTCATAATTCCCCAAAACCTGTACTTTCCAGATATGCAAACTCTCTGTGATGCTAAAATTCTACAGACACAGGTCATCAAAATCCTAAGCTGATCCAACCTAATTCTATAAATATGAATATCAGTAAAACTGATGTTAAAAAAAAATAAACAAATATTACTGTTATGAGGAAAAGGAATCATTCAGCTAGCTGTAGCTTTATTCGTAGGGGTCCATCAAATCAATGCGATAATGTTTTTATTGACCATCTCTTCGTGGATGTGATTTTGCAAGGATTCTTTAAAAGAGGAAAAAGAAAAAGAAAGAAAGAAAAGAAACGAAGAAAGTTTAAAGCAGTTAAGTTATGCGGGCAAGGCCGACCCATAATCTCATCAGTGCTGAAATTATCAACACTGCTAAAACTGTAAAGATGGAAATTGTCCACTTAAAAGTTGTTCAAAGAAATCAAACCCACATACAAAGATGGGTATATCAAATACGAGCTGGATGGTACTTGTTGCTGAATCTTCGAAGATTTGCATTATCAGTTACAGTCTATTGTATGTTAGGTGCTAAAATTGGGTTTGATTGCACTGTACTTAAACGTATGAATCAACTTCAACATACTTTGGTGAATAAATCCGCAAAGCAATGTTCATAAATAAATTTTGATGATAGGAACAGAGAGGCAAAGACGAAATAGATACATCGATGATGAAGGATTTTGAGAAGGAGATCTCTGGGTAATACGCACACATGACACATACCTATGGGTTGGCGGGGGCTGTGGCTAAGGCAGCTCAATGGAAGGTTCCAATAATATTGTCAAAGCGCGTGAAGAAATATTAATGTAAATAGCCTTTATAAGGCTGCTTCGTGCTCTTATTTTTTTATTCGACCATTTATCATATAGTCAAAACAACCATACAACACGACGTTAGAAGTCCAATCATTGAACTGGAGGACCACGTAGAGAGAGACAAAGTAATGATTCAAATATTTCAATTTAGTTTCCTTCCTGATTACAAGAAGACTTAAAACTAGCAATCACTTGGTTATTGTTATTCTCGAGATGATCACCAGGCCATCTCTTACATGATCAGAATCTTATGAACTAAAACTAAAACGTTTTTCTATTTTGCCACCACTCATACAGATAACTTGTCACAGCTCTCTCTAGTATGAGTAGTCTGTAATTGCAAATGTAAGGGTTCAAATAAAAAACTATAATGACACCTATAAAAAACACCCCAAATGCTCCAGCAAAACTCCATAAAAAGGCATCTCGAAAATCATCCCCTTCCAAATGATGGGGTTGCTTGTTTTTCCCTGCTTTTGAGCAATTTTGTTGTAGAGGCGGACCACATAAAAAGGGGTTCCCTTCATAGTTGGCTGAATCAAAAGTTGCAAATTGATTTTTCATATCCGGTGTCCTTCCAGATAGATTGTTATGAGACACTGAGAAGACGGACAAGGAGTACAACTGAATTAGTTGTTCAGGAATGTGACCTGTCAATTTGTTGTGTGAAAGATCAAGGCTCTCTATCTGCTTGAGGTTGGAAAATGTTTCTGGAATAGGCCCCTTCAATTGATTGTTTGACAAATTTAATGCATGGATAGTGCCTAAGTATCCAATTTGTGAAGGAATCTCATCTGTCAATTCATTACTTGAGAGATCCATTCCAGACATGAAATTTAAAATGCTTCCTTTATAAGATTCATACCTTCTTTTTGTTGTAAAATCTACTTCTTGGTCTTTATACGATGTAACATTTCGTTTTTCTTCATCCATAGTAATCCCACCAGTCTCAACGTAAAAACCATACAATGACAACCTCGTGGTCCATGACACAATAAAATGTCCTATTTCGGTTTCCCCTCGTGCATCTATCTTCCCAAATGTGATGTTATTCAAGCAATATGGTATGCCTCCAGAAAGCTTATTTTGAGAAAGATCTAATAACCTAATATTCTTGAGCTCGCATAAACGTGTAGGAATAGGGCCTTCAAGTTTGTTTCCTTTTAACATGAGGATCCTCAAACTCAAAAATGAGCCATTCAATTTTGAAACTTGACCAGAAAAATTGTTATTCATCAAATTTAAAGTCAACAATAAAGGGGAATTAGCCAAAGTGGAAGGTAGAGGTCCCTTGAAATGGTTGCTCTGCAAATGTAAGTACTTTAACAATGGAAAATTTAGACAGATTGGCAAAGAGCCAATGAATTTATTTTTAGAAAGGTCTAAATATGTAAGTTTGGTCAAGTTGCAAAAACTTTCTGGTAGTGAACCTCTTAAAGAATTATTTGACAAAGTGAGGTAACTCAAATGTTGAAGGTTTCCAATCCAGCTAGGTAATTCACTAGATAATTGGTTGGCACTAATATCCAATATTCTTAATTCAGTACTATTCATGACCCCACCTTCAAGCTTTCCTTTGAAGTTATTGTTGTTGAGATCCAAAAGCAACAAAGACGTGAAATTTGATCCTATAGGAAGACATGGGCCGCTTAGGTGGTTGTTTGACAACTTCAAAAACCTCAATTCATTGTTACCTTGACCAAATTCTTGGGGCAAGTAACCAGATAAATTATTATTTGACAAGTCGAGATCATTCAATTGTCTCATTTCACCTATTGAAGTTGAGAAGCAACCTCGCAATAAAGTTAAAGACATGTTAAGAGAGATCAAGTTGGGAAAAATGAAGCCAATATGAGAAGGCATTTCATCTCTAATGGGGTTAGAGGAAATATCAAAATACTCCATTTGAAGCAATTTTGAGGTGGAATTGAGTTCAAATGGACCAGTGAAAAAGCTGTGGGTCAAATTGAAATAATTCAATTTTGTGTTGTTTGTCAAAAGCCAGGATGGGAAGGTCCCTGAAATGTTCAAGTAACTAAGCTGTAGAAACAACAAGTCATATTGATGAAGTAGAAAGGTAGGCATTCTTTTAGCTTTGGCTTCATTTAGAGTACAGTTGAGGATCATGAAAAACCTCAATTGGAAGGAAGGGATAAATGGGGGATTCTCTGTTTCAAGCCTCAGGTTGGTGTTAGAGCATAAAATGGAAAAGATTTTGAGGTTGGAGTTGTTGACAAGTGAAGAGAGTGAAAATGAGCCACTGAAATTGTTGTCAGACAAAACAAGTGCTGTTAGAGACCTCAAAGTATGAAAGAGTGAGAAAGGAAAGTTTCCTTCAAAACGAGTTCGAAGAAGATAAAGCGTGCGTAAGGACGTCAAATTGCCAAGGCATGGAGGGAGTTGCCCCTCAAATTCATTGTCGGTAAGATCCAATAATAAAATATTCTTCAAATTGCACAGGCCTCCTGCAACATGCACAATTTTCTTCATTAAATTTATTTCGTCAGAACAATGAATTTAAATTAATATTGGGCCCCAGGAAAAAAGCCTCAACATTGAGCCCACAAATGTAAATAAAAATAAATGATAAAGCCATTTCCTTTTATTAGTTTTAGCCCATCCATGTGTAAATACGGCTCGATCTTATTATTATTATTGTTTTGTCAATTGTTATTTGTTTTGACTACACTATTTTAAACTAGTGCCGCATGCCAATTAGGAGATGGATTGGAAATCGGTTTCATTGAACAGTCAACTCAATTTGCACGAACAAGGAAAATTTGACTGTTTAATTAAAATAAAAAAATTTTACCAGCAAATTTGATGTTTATTAGCAAATACTCAATTAATGGATTATTTTCTTTCCATCACAGATGCTATAAAATATGATGCGTACCTTGTTGTGGCAATGATCCATTGAGGTTGTTATTGCGTAATGTCAATACGGTGAGGGAAGTAAGAGATGTAACAGATTTTGGAATACCGCCTTCCAAGTAATTTTCATCAAGCCACAGCTCATCCAGATTACGTGAATGAGAAAGGTCTGTCAAATGCCAAATGGAAATCAATTGATAAGTATATATGTTGTTAAAATTTATTATAATGAATCTGCTAAGTAAGAAAACGTCATCTTATCTCTTACTTTTGACATTTCATTCAATTCTCTCAATTAAATATATAAATGCACATAAATTGTTCAGCTGAGATGATTATATGACAAAGGTAAATAATTTGACTTCCCAACAAAATCAAAAAAAAAATACAAAACTTTCTTATATTTAATGGAGAAAACTTTGTCCATATATTCCTTTTAGCATTTTTCTTAAAATGATGGCCCGGTAATCTTTTTTTCTAAAAATAGATATATTTTTTATGCCCGTTTCAGTAACTACATATGTCACTCAAAGTATAGGATAATATAGAAGACAAAGATTTAGGACCGAAATATGGGAATTCTGTGAGCATATTGTCTTGTAAGCTCAATGCTTCCAAGTTCACCAGCCTGAAATCGCCAAGCAGCCCTGTCCCACAAACAACATGTGATTAGTTACTATGAACGTTAGTGGGTATAAAGAATTATAAAAAATAATTCATATAATTAATATCATCATCCTCTTCATAATTTAACATGAAGTGAAAGTTTGATGATGTAGTTTTTATCAAGCTTGTTTTGGGCCCCTCTATATATCCAGGAAAATATCCTGCTTAGTAATTTATTTTTAGAAAAATATTTACAACACGAATCAAAATGTTTAGTATCTCAAACATTTTCTAAAATATCTTACTTGATTATATTTTTTAAAAAATGAGTAATAAAACTTTTGGTACTCAAATTTAATTTGTCTCCGTTATCAATTTGCTCTGTGAAGTTTAATTTTGATCAATCAAGTCCCTAAAGTTTCATACGCAATTTTACTCCCTTTGCCGCTATCTATAAGATATAAATGATTAAATTATGTAGATTATATAGTTTGTTGAAATTGCTTGAAGGCAATAAATATGTAAAAATGTATTTTTTTTCCAAAAATAATAAAAATGGTGAATGAGATAGAAATTGAGTAAGAAAAAAGATAAGTACGAGAGAGAATAAATGAAGGGATAAAACATATAATTAGTGGGAGAAAATATAAAAAAAAAAATTGGTTCAAATTTCATAAATAAAGCAAAGTGAGGGTTATCATCCTTGAATTAATGGTTAGAGATACGTTTAGGATTATATATCTTCAGACCATAATGGCTAATTTTGTATGATTACGAAACTTTAGGGACTTGATTTATAACAATTAGTTAAATTTCATGGACCAAATCAACAAGTGAAGCAAATTTGAGGGACGGAAAGTTTCATTATTCCAATAAGAAATTATCCACAACTATTTATCTAGAACTAGAATGGACTCTTACCCCGGCAAATCAGTGGGCTAAAAGAGGAAACCGATGAAAAAGAACAAGATAAGAGGCAATGAATGATATGATCATAATATTTTTAACTAATTTTTTACTGTAACTAATATGCTTTTACATGTTCAAAAATCACAGTTCAAAATGCTTATAAATATGTCGGTCTTAATTAACAATGTATGTCTATGTACCGTGTGTGTATACATATATGTATGTATGCATGAATGGTAGAATAGTTAAAAGAAAGAGGGTGACCTGACAAGTAATCCCATCTAAATACAACTCTAGAAGCTGGATGAAGGGGAGAAGAAGAAGCATTGAGTGACCATTGATGTGTCCCAACTCTTCAGCTCTTGTGTAACTCAAATCAATTACTATCACTCTGTGAGTAGAGTTGTCACACTGTACAGACTCCCAAGTGCAGCAATCAGAGAAGGTTTGGTTATTCCAAGAAGGAAGAGAAGAGCCACTTGGATAATTGAAAGCTTCTTTCAATTTCAGAAGAGCTTCTCTCTCTTCTTTCAAGCACCCCTCACTTTCTGCATGAAACCCTAATAGTAATATGAATATGGTTATGGCCCTCGCCCACCACACATCTTCTCTCACAGAATACCCCATTTTTCGGCATATGCTTCCTTGTTTGCCTACGTCTTCCATTACGTCCTCTCTATCTCTATATATATAGGCCAGAAGGAGGTTCATGTTGCTCACTAGTTGTCTTTAATTTGGCGAGAAAGCACTCAGACTCAGAAAAACGTAACGATCGAGTTGGGCAGTAACCGAAAAAACACGACTGTGGTGCGGGGGGGCAATATAGTCAATGGTCGGTGATCCCAAGACTTGTAAAGGTTAAAATTAATATACATTTATAAAATGAATGTCATGGAATAATTAAACAAATAAATCTGAAATATCTGATGAATTATTTAAACAACGTTGAGACAAATTAAAGCACAATTTTAGTGGAAAATATTTAACCAACCCATAGTACATGGCCTCATGTAGGCAATAATGGTTTGTCCTTGTACGGCCGGAGGGTCAGGAATTAACCACAATCAACTTTGAAGTGGTCGAACATACAAACAGGGGAATCGCAGTAAGATAACAAAACAAGAAAGAAAGAAAGAAAAGAAAGATGCATATCGAAACCACTTCAAATAGAAAGAAATTATTTCCATTTATTGCTTCAGTTATCAATTTAGTATATGAAGTTTAATTTCTATCAATAAATTTTTAATTCTGTATATAAGATATAATAACTAAGAAATGCATACTCGTGTGTGGTTCTATTTATGAGTTAAAAAGAAAAGATTTCATTTTATTTTATTTATAAGGAACACAATTAAATTTTTTACACGAATATATAATTTTATTTCTTAGAAATTATGGGTATTTATATTAAATATAAGTAAAATTAGAAAATTAAATCCCAAAATAATCTGACATGGACTATTAACTAGTTTAATTAATCTGAAAAACCAGGAAGAGGTCAAGATATGCTCTCCCAAAACGCACGATAGGGCTTAGGCTCTCTATTTCTGATGATCCCGTCTATCACCCTCACATGCTAATTTCTAATCAACAAGAATGATATTTACCAGAAAGTTATAATTGTGAGAGGAATTTAAAGTAGTTTCCGTGTTGAATCAGTCATGATTAAGACAAGTTATAAAGTTGCTGATGAGCAAAGAGGATGTGAATGGCGCGCACACATACATACATATATATATATATATATATCATACATGTCATTTCTTCAATTGAAGAAAACTACAATTTTGCTTCATAAGCAAGCTTCAACGTTGTCATAATTGACCCAGACTTGGAGTCGTTTGGTAAGAAAGAATAGAAAAAGACAAAGATTCGTTACGTTGCCCCAAAAATACACAATTGGGCTTAACGTAACCTCTCAATTTAAGGTGGCATGCATATTCGGTTGAACGTGCGAACAGGGGAGTCTTAAAAAGATGAGACTTTTCTGGTCCTTTTTTTTTTTTTTTACCAGCAATACTTTTACCACATCAACATCATGCCTGACATAAACTAATAACAATATAATTAATAGTGGGTATGTCAAAAGTGAAGTCGTTCCACATTGCTCAAGAGAGGGACCTTAAGTGTATATATGCTATCATATATTATTAGGCTAGTGAATGGGCCCAGAGGAGAATGAGGATCTCGCATGTGCGATAATGGCCCATCAGAGGAAAACAGTGGAAAACTGGTGCGGCGGCGAGTTGAGACAGGAAAATTTTCACAAGTGAACTTCAACGTTATCATATCTGACACAGACTTCCTATGGTTTAGTGTGAAAGGTTAGAAAAAGATCAAGATTTCATTGCCCCAAAATACACGATTGGGCTTAACGTAGCCACTCAATTTATGGTTGATCCTGACAATTGCTATCTATGTTCCCCACGCCTAACAAGTTTTATATTATTTATCACAACTGTTTAAAAGTCAGTGCATTTGCTTTTGACATTTCTGCACAATCCAACAAATTAAACTATGTGTTCATATGTGTTTAGCGCTTTTTTTCCTTTCTTTCTTTTTTTAAACTTTTGAATTAGTGGCAGACAGTAATTAATTGAGATTATAAGTGGGATCCCACAACTTTTTGTTTGTTTACAAGAAATCTTTCATACCATTAGATTATGAGACCATTATAGCACAGGTGAGTTTTAATCACTGAGTTATGATTAATTAGGATAATAATTCATTGAATTTGCGGTTTTGAACTTGCCAAGAGTCTCCGATATACGTCTCAAGAATAACACAATAGGGGGAAAAAAGATGATGTGTGTTTTTTTTTTTTTGGGGGGGGGGGGGGGGACATACAAACAGGGGAATCGTAGTAAGCTAATAAAAAAAAAGAAAGAAAGAAAGAAAGAAAGAAAATTGCACATCGAAACCACTTCAAATAAAAAGAAATTATTTCCATTTATTGCTTCAGTTATCAATTTAGTATATGGAGTTTAATTTCTATCAATTAAATTTTTTAATTCTGTATATAAGATATAAATAACTAAGAAATGCATACTCGTGCGTGGTTCTATTTACAAGTTAAAAAGAAAAGATTTCATTTTATTTTATTTATAAGTAACATCATTAAATTTTTTACACGAATATATAATTTTATTTCTTAGAAATTATGGGTATATATATATTAAATATAAGTAAAATTAGAAAATTAAATCCCAAAATAATCTTACATGGACTATTAACCAGTTTAATTAATCTGAAAAACTAGGAAGAGGTCAAGATATGCTCTCCCAAAGTGCACGATAGGGCTTAGGCTCTCTATTTCTGATGATCCCTCGTCTCACATGCTAATTTCTAATCAACAAGAATGACATTTACTAGAAAGTTATAATTGTGAGAGGAATTTAAAGTAGTTTCCGTGTTGAATCAGTCATGATGAAGACAAGTTATAAAGTTGCTGATGAGCTCAGAGGATGCGAATGTCATTTCTTCAATTGAAGAAAACTAGAATTTTGCTTCATAAGCAAGCTTCAACGATGTCATAATTGACCCAGACTTGGAGTCGTTTAGTCAGGAAGAATAGAAAAAGATGAAGATTCGTAACGTTGCCCCAAAAATACACAATTGGGCTTAACGTAACCTCTCAATTTAAGAGTGACCCTGACAGTTACCGGCAATAATGTTCACTGCACAATATTAGGGGGTGAACAGCAATAATATGAGATTACAAGTGAAATCAAATTTACAACCTTCCACTTACGGGAGGTCTTTCGTACCATAAGGTTACAAGGGCTCAGCATCTACTTTTTTGCATTAAAATTGAGTTTTATTCACTCAGTTATGACTAATCAGGATAATAATTCATTGAATAGAATTGATCTACTAAAACACGAATTCGTGGTTTTGAGCTTGCCAAAGTCTGCTATGTACGTACCAAGAATAATATAATGACAGGGTTCATTAAAAAAGAAAGAAAGGATGACATGCATAATGGGTTGAACATGCGAACAGGGGAGTCTTAATTAAAAAGATGATACTTTTCTGGTCCTTAATAGAAAACGTAATTAAAGAGTTAATATTAGCCTTATATATGAGATTTATTTCAAGAAAACATAATTAAAGAGTTAATATTAGCCTTATATATGAGATTTATTTCGTTAAAAAACAACAGGGGGAGAGACGCATACCATAGCCACTTCAAATAATAGAAAAATCATCTTCATTCAGTCCTTCAGTTATCAATTTAGTAGACAAAGTCTAATTTTTATCAATTAAATTTCTAAATTCTGATACGAATAACTAAAATATGAGGGTAAAAAATTAGTTAAAATTAGTTTAAAGTAATAAATGTGTAAAAAATTTATTTCGATTTTGAAAAAATATTCATACTTACGGAGAGAGGGGGTGAATGAGCAGAAAAAAGAGGTGTGTGAGAGATAATGAACGCAATAATATAATTAATGAGGGGGAAATTACAAAAATGATTAAAATTTCAAACATCTTTATGCCACGTTTGGATGAAAAAAAAAAATAAGAGGAGAGAAAGTTAAGGGAAGGAAAAATATTATCACCTCCCTTGTTTAGATGGAGAGAAAATTAAAGAAAAAGAATAAATATGTTAATGACTAAAATACTCTGATCTCTATGACAAAATATATTATGTTCAAAATCACTCCCAAAATCTGTCTTCTAATTAATGTTTTTGTGATTAAAATATCACAGTTTTAACGATTTAAAAATCTTAAGCAAAAATGTATATATTTTTGCAGTTTAAAAAAATTAACAACGTCTGCATTATATGCATGAATGATAAAATTAACACGTAACGAACCAAAGTTTCAATCTCTATTAAAAGAGGTACCTATATTTAGTGTTCAATAATATTTCGAATAAGATTGTCTCCAATAGGACGATATATATGTTTTAGTAAAAAAATAAATAAAATAATTATAAGGATGACGGTGACAAATGCCACCGGGCCCACCGCACCTATCCTCTCACTGAATATTTTACTCTTTTCTCATTATGCTTCCTCAATTTTGTTATAAATTCAGATCCAAAAAAAAAATTGTGTTATAAATTGATTTTATGTTCTAAAATGCCCTTAGTGCTACACTATTTACTCATTCAATGAAATTTCCAAGTCGACAGCCGGAAGGCGTACAGTGGAAGTTTTTTAATTTGTCCCATGTTTAATGAATAAACGTGTTTTTAGCCAACACATGCTACTGTCTCCTCTTACGCATCACCTCGTATTTGGAATTTACAAGTTTGTTTGAATTGTTATCCGCACATATTAAACATGAGTAAAATTAAAAAGTCATTAAAAACTGAGATTTTAATTTTAAAAATTTGATCCTATTTTAATTTTGATCTTTAAATTTGACTTTATTTTGATTTTGGTTCTTAAAATTCAAAACCAATAATTTTTAGTCCACAAAATTTAACTTCATTTTGATCAGCCTAAATAGTTTAGGTCTCTAAAATAAGAATCAAATTTTATGAGCCAAAACCATTGATTTTAAGATTCAGGAATCAAAATCAAAATGAGATCAAATCTTATGAACTAAAACTACTAGTTTCAAATTTTAGGAACTAAAGTCAAAATAAAGTCAAATTTCAAAAATTAAAGATGA